TTTTCCTTATGGTTACGTCATTGAAAATAACCACTTTTGTTTTAGTAATTGTACATTTAGATAGCTTGTTTGTTTAGCTATACATGTAGCTGCAATTTTGATGTCTAAAGATTCATGGGCCACGCAGTATTTCTTCCGATGCTTATAGTGATTAAGTTGCAATGAAATGCTGTTGCCAGTCGTCTTTTTAACAGTGGAAGTTGACATGAGCAGAGATTACTTGTTCATGATAAATGTCGTTTACAAAACACATCAAAATTTTCCGGAATTAATCTTGCCCCTTTTTATATGGTAGTGTATATTGATGAGGATTTTGTGACTTACAAGTTTCCTGACAAGAATGATATATTGATACATTACTTTCACATCATTTCATCTCTCTCGTTTGTTTTGCAATGATATTGTATATTCACTCATCATGCATTTGTTACGTTCTAGCTGCTTGAGACGATAGTGAAGAACTGTGGTGACATGGTTCATATGCATGTGGCTGAGAAGGGTGTTATACATGAGATGGTCCGGATAGTTAAGAAGAAGGTAAGGGGTCTTCCAAATTTGCCTTATCTGGAAAATTTAATTCCTCTTTCTCTCTAATCCAATATATCTATTGATGCATAGCCGGACTTCCATGTCAAAGAGAAGATCCTGGTACTTATTGATACATGGCAAGAGGCCTTTGGTGGTCCCAGGGCAAGATATCCACAATACTATGCAGGATATCAGGAATTGTTGGTAGGTCTACTGAAATTGTTTGATATATATATTTTTTTTTCAGTAAAGTATTGTTTCTGATTCTGGATGTCCAGATGTCTGATGGTGAAGTTTAAATAGGACCCATACTCAATACTACTTAGATCCTTTTGTTAGCTCTGTTAGAAATTCTTCCACTTCTCTTGACTAACCACCATTGCTGACTCCTGTCTCTTTCAGCGTGCTGGGGCTGTTTTCCCTCAGAGATCGGAAAGATCAGCTCCTGTGTTCACTCCTCCACAAACACAGCCTTTGACATCTTACCCTCCAAATCTTCGTAATGCTGGACCTAGTAATGATACGCCTGAACCTTCAGCAGAGCCAGAATTTCCTACACTGAGGTGGATATCTTGTATTGCAACTCCGCTGCTTTAAGTAGATGAATTTATAACAAAAGCATGAATTTGTTCGGCAAATTTCACCGTCCTTGAGATCAGACAAATTTCTTATTATACATTTAGCTACTTTTTGTTCAGGGGAAATGTATTAGCAGAAAGCAACCCTAGCTGGAAGCCTAGATGTAGGGTGAATCAAAGTCGAGAGGTGATTGGAATCAGGAATTAGTTAGTGCAAAAGGCATGCATGTGTAGTAATTGAGTTACAATTTTTCTTGTAGGAATTATTTGGAGTATATGTTAGGGTCTGCAAGTTAACTTTGCATCTGTTTGCTTGATTTATTTAGGACGTAGGTGTATGCCTTTGTTGCTCAGGATCTACGCTTCTCAAATGTTTTTTCTGTTTAAAATTCTTTTTCAGTTTATCGGAGATTCAAAACGCAAAAGGTATCATGGATGTGCTTGCAGAAATGCTGAGTGCATTAGAGCCGGGAAACAAGGAGGTAAAATAATTTAATTGCAGAGAAAGATAACTACCTGTTTGCAAGTGTTGGCTATAGTGCAAAATATACTAGACTAAGTGGAAGATATTCTAAATTGTTCGTGGACATAGCAATTGTGGAATTTAATTATTCTTAATTATGTCAGGATGAACATTCTTTTTTTTTTCTTTTGAATTTCTTTAGGACCTTAAACAGGAGGTGATGGTCGATCTTGTGGAGCAGTGTCGTACATACAAACAAAGAGTAGTACACCTAGTCAACTCAACTTCGTAAGAGCTCTTTATTTTCCTCTCCAGTTACATGTAGATATCTATTTCATGATGCATAGAAGTTATATTGCTTGGACTGCGATAAGATCTCGCCTTATATTCACTTCTAGTATGTGTACATATTACCCGTAGATTCCGTAGCAAGAGATTGGTATATGCATGCGTAAATGACACCAATCTCCCTCAGTGTGAACTTCCAGGGTAATTCAATTGAATTTTGTAAGAGAGACAAGAGACACATGTGTGTTTGGAGACCCAAAGACTCCAGGTCTACTTAAGTGAATAAAGCAACCATAGTTTAGTCTTCTATCTAATTTTGTGGCCCATGGGTGAGATAGCTGGTTAGGCTCTGTGTATATATTGGACAGCATAGAGAGACTGCGAGAGCATTCATGTTCTACGTGGGTTTAGGTTTATGTAAGAGGGAGGGGAGAGAACTTCATTTAGAAATATCTCAAATCCGTACTTGTCTGAGTTATTGCTGTTAAGTACTTACTTTACGTTTGAAATGGTATCACATTGAATAGTCCAGTTGGGAGTATTAGTCCTGTCGATGAGAATTGCGTTTATGCTTCGTAGATTATATTTCTGTATACTCATCTTTACCTCGCAATTTTGTTTTCCAGGGACGAGTCACTGTTATGTCAGGGTCTGGCTTTGAATGATGACTTGCAGCGTGTCTTAACCAATTATGAAGCAATTGCTTCTGGAATTCCTGGAACTTCGGCTCAAATTGGAAAGCCAAAAACTGAGACAGGAAAATCCCATGTTGATGTTGATGGTCCACTTATTGATACTGGGGACAGCAGTAATCAGCTGAACGGGTACGTAAAACAAAACTCGACTGTCATGCACCCAAGAATTTTGGATAAAATCACCTGGTTTTGGATACGCCAATCTTAGCTGCAAGCTTAAGTCTTATTAAATAGCTTCTGATTTGTACTACGTCTAACATTTTCACAGAGCTACAACAAGTTCTAGTAACGGGGTTTTTAATCAACTTGCCCTCCCTGCACCACCTGTAACCAATGGTTCAGCTGACTCCAAAATAGACCTCCTGAGTGGTGATGATCTTGCCCTTGTTCCTGTTGGACCTCCTCAACCAGCAAGTCCGGTCGCTTCAGATCAAAATGCACTGGCCCTTATCGATATGTTCTCAGACAATACTAATAGTCCAAGTCCTGCACCTGCACCTGCACCAACTGGCAATTCAGCTCCCCAGGGTAGTCCTTTGAATCCTCAACTGCACCAGCAACCAAATAGTCAACCTGGAGAAGCTGGATTGCAACAATCCAATGGATTTTCTCCTCAATTGGGTTATTCGCAGTTTGAGCAGCCATCATACGGGCAAGGAGTCTCTTCTCTCTGGAATAGTCAGTCTCCACAGCATCCACAGCAGTTGCAACAACCACACCAGCCAACTTATGGTAATATATATGAGTTTAAATTACAAACCTTAAATTTTGTGATATATGTCATCAACTAGAAAGCATTTTACTCTTTAAAATTTGAGAGAATCAGCTTACGTGTATCTCACATATAGTCCTTATTTGTTGTGTTTGTGGTAACTTTGTAACGCGAAGAAGGTGCCCAAGACAGTTCGGCATTTCCACCTCCCCCATGGGAAGCTCAGCACCAAGACTTTAGTCCCACTGCAGAGTCAGGAAGTCCGTTTTCTCCTCAAATGCATCCAACACAAGTCGCCTTCACACATGCTCAGCCGGTTAACAACAACAGTCCTTATCATCAAATGCCGCAAGCCGTCCAATTGGTTAACAACAACAGTCCATATTCTCAAATGCCGCAAGCTGGAAGCGGTATGTACATGCAACAGCCAATGCCAAACCAACCTAATCCGGCTCTAGGGCAAGGCTATTCACCCCAGCAACAACAGCAGCAGCAGATGATGATGGCTCAGTTCTATGCC